TATATACTGTATAATAGTGAGGTGATTCAAATAAATGCTACAAAAGGACTTTTGTCAACTGTTGTACTTTGTTGTTATTGTGTGTTTTAAACACAGTGTTGTTGTAGTTACTTTTAGTCACCAGTAGATGGAGATAATTTGATGCTCCTTAAACATTAATTGACGTTCCAATCCAAAAGGAAGAACTTTATATTTTTTGGTTTCATGACGGTGCACCCACATTTTAGCATTAAATCATCAGAATACTGTTCCATATTTCCAGTGCTCACAGTATTCACATCTTTTACTGTAAGTGAAAATAGTATATCCACACTATAAAAATACTCCATTACTGGTTCTTTATTCAAAATGTTACTAGAGTAAAAGTACAAAAGTATCAGCATCAAAATACACTTAAAGTAGCAAAAGTTAAAGTGCTCATTATGCAGAATGGTCCATTTATATTATGGATTATAATTATTGATGCATTCATGTGTTCATCACTTTAATGTTGCAGCTGGTAAAGATGGAGCTCATTTTAATGACTTTATAAACTGCTGCGTAGTTTAATCTATAATAATATCATTTATTAGTTGATGGTATTTTGTATTAATAATCTACAAAGTAACTGAAGTTATCAAATAAATATAGTGGAGTAAAAAGTCCAATATTTCCCTCTGAGATGTAGTGGAGTAAAAAGTGACCTATAAAGTATCAGAAAATGGAAATACTCAAGTAAAGTAGGCGACAAGTAGTGATGAGCAAATGAAGCCTCATGAAGCTTTGTCTTTATCTTCTGAGCCCACTAGATGGCGCTCTCTGTTCAACAAAGGGTTACAGGCACACTGGACTGTCTGTCCTTGAGCTGTTTCCTTTAAACCAAGAGCGCCATCTAGTGGGCTCAGAAAATAAATCAGTACATTTCAACAATTCATAACTTCTCTATCTGGACAAAAGTATGTGGACATTCAGATTTTCCAGGCCTGGAAAAGTCTTGGAATTAGTAAAAATCATTGAAAGATATTTCTAATTTATTTTTCTGCTGCCTCCATCTTTTTTTTTGATGAACTTGATTAACCTCTGCTGACCTCACCAGGAAAAAAACATCAGCACATCTAGTGGACCGAAAAAGCAACTGATTCTATCATTCTAGTATCAAAAGTTGTATTAAAACGTGTATCTGCAAAAATTAATGATATATATAAGTAAAGATATGCTATGCAATGCTTTGACGATATATATCGTTTGATGAGAGAAAAATGTCTACCGTTTCATATTTTGCTCTATCGTTTTTATCGTTGTGATGCAAATTACACTTTTTACGGCAATATTTTTCATCATTTGGAGTCTGTCCATCTTTTGCACAGATCACATTGATAAATTACTCTTCTTGGCTTTTTAATTCGTGAAGCTTTTACGGCACTTACAGTAACATAACGAGTTTAGTTGCTGTCAGCTCCACCGCTGTCTGTCTCTGCTGCGCTGCACACACTGAGGGCTCAGCCCCACAGCACTGAGAAAGAGCAGAACATAACTGCTGTGAAGCAATAAGAAAATAACATTTTATTAATCTGATTCACCAGCTTTCTTTTTATTCATTGGATTAAAATTTGCTATATTGGGATATATCGTTATCGGGATATGAAATGACCTATATCGTGATATGAGATTTTGGTCATATCGCCCAGCCCTAAGCCACGCTAAATATCACGATACTCTGCTGTATCGATTTTTTTCCACCACCCCTAATTTGCAGTGCCCGCTCTGTAGAACTGACACCAAAGTCTGGCTCATTGAACGCTGTCACTGACATCATGACCTTTGCTTCTTTTATATTTTCCTTGCTTGGTGCATGTCTACAAACTGTATGATAGTCCTGCCACTGTGAGGTGAACAGAGAGAATGTAGAGTGATCTTTTTTTCTTTTTCTTTTTTAAGCATGTGCAATTTTACATAGGAAGTGCAACTGTGTGTGTATGTCATTTAACTTTTTATCCTATAATAACAATTAATCAGTATGAAGTCTATATACTATCAGTGACTATGTCTTTTTCCTTAGTTACATTGATTCTGAAGTATAACTTGATCAAAACATGTAGTTGAAAAAGAGGGCAAATTTGCAGTTTAAACGTTCTTTCACTGGTTCACTATTCAGTGATAACGTACTTAAACATGTGATTTCTTATCTAAAAAATGTTTATGTGCTTTAACTTTATTTTCACCATGGCAGAGAAATCATTGAGCTATTTTTTTCACATTTAACTTCACTTGACCTTTTTAATTGTCACTAACTGTAACTGGTTAGTAGTCATCGACTCAGTCACAAGAAAAACTGTTTGCATATGTTACATTTGTACATCATTGTGTAGCTGTCTTGCAGACGTGTTGAAATTAAACATTTCAGTTCAGTTCAGGAACTATTAATCTCTTAGTCTGTTTTGCATTCTATGGGAAGGAAATGTTTGACATGGTGGTAGATGTATAATTATTGATGCATTCATGTGTTCATCACTTTAATGTTGCAGCTGGTAAAGATGGAGCTCATTTTAATGACTTTATAAACTGCTGCGTAGTTTAATCTATAATAATATCATTTATTAGTTGATGGTATTTTGTATTAATAATCTACAAAGTAACTGAAGTTATCAAATAAATATAGTGGAGTAAAAAGTCCAATATTTCCCTCTGAGATGTAGTGGAGTAAAAAGTGACCTATAAAGTATCAGAAAATGAAAATACTCAAGTAAAGTAGGCGACAAGTAGTGATGATCAAATGAAGCCTCATGAAGCTTTGTCTTTATCAGTTCAGAAACTATTAATCTCTTAGTCTATTTTGCATTCTATGGGAAGGAAATGTTTGACATGGTGGTAGATGTATCAGGAAACACAAGACTATTCATCACATGACTTTCCCTTAAGAGACCAGTGTTCGGTACTTTGTGAAATCAAGTCAGCTTTGAGTTATTTTAAGGTATATCGTTGCCATGTTTTTGTTTTGTTTCTTCCTTAACTATCAACTTTACCTGCCTTAACCTAACCTATGTAACTTCTTTATGTACATAATGTCATCAGCGGGTTGCTATGTTCTTTACAAACCATTGTGTGTGCAATCACTGCATAAGGATATGTTGGTGTTAGTTCATTTCGTCGTTTCGTTAGTTCATCATTACAAATCTGCAGCTCTGTTTTCCCTGCAATAATCATCTTAAAGTTCATTGTCTCTGCAAGCCTACACATATGATAGGTTGACACAATTGACTTTTGACAAGATTATAGTAGCTTCTATCTTTGTTATGTGTGTTAATGTGGTGATTTATTTACGTAATTCTGTAAAAGGAATAAAAAGAAAACTCTGTAAAAGACAAAGATAATGTATCTGCTGTGGCTTCATCTCTAGACACTCACCAGGAAGGGGAGGCTCTTAGCTTCGTACTTCGGTTGTATTTCAGTCTCGTGTTCAGTCAGCAGCAAGAAAACATGGAGGTCACATCTCTCTGCACCAAACTAAGTAAGGAATGAGTCCATCTCTCTCTCCATTGGTATGTGTATAAATAAATATGAAAAATAAAATCAGTTAATTACTCATATTCTTCCATTTACTGAAATTCAAATAACTTCCGTTGCCGTTGTTTAATAAATTAACTGTTTCAGGTCAAGTTAAACAAAATAATAATAATAATAATAATAATAATAATAAAGACCTCCAAAGTCAGAATTTCACATTTA